GCGAACTTTTCCTATACTTTTAAGCTTCTACATTCGGCTGCAAAGACACAGAAATGTTCCTCGAAATTTCCGTTAGCGGAGCAAACACACGTGCGCTACGTGCGAGCTGAGAAAAGAACTTTTGTATTGTATCAAGTAAATATTACATCAACTGACAGCTCGACATGTAAAGATTTTTTATCGTTTTCGTCACATATCGAGCAATGCTTCGATTCATTGTGAGACGTACCTTCAGCGTAAAAGTATTTGTAATTTTGCGCAAACAATATTCAACGTAAACTTTGCAGAAAAAAATTAGTATCCTATCGGTAAAATTTTCAAATATGGCATTCCCCCTCAACTGATGTTTTGTTTCTCGCTGTTTAAAAATGATCTTTGATTGTTACATTGAGAGAAAAAATAATAGTCTTTTATTAGAAAAAACAAGTGTGAAAACTGGAAAATAACTTTTTCATGGAATGTTTATTTCAATCTTATCACGGTTCATTGCATTATATACACAATTAATATTTATTGAAATTTAGCAAAGAAATTATAAAATTTTGAAAAAAAATCCAAAAAACATTTTTATTAAAAAAAATAGACATTTTAATAAATATTTGTTTAAAAATATCTTTCTAAACTGTCGAAAATATGTTCAAAACTGTCGAATATATGATCATAATATATTTATATTTACATTTAAAAAATTTAAATATAAATATAATTTTTAGTAAATAGAACTCTAATTATAAAAAAAATGAAAGCTTACTAATGGAAAATATTTTCCACCAGTAAATTATTAATTTATACGAAATATTTTGTATATTTGATAAAGGATTAATTTAATATGATGATATATTTTATTTAAATAAGTAAATTAATTGCTTATTTATTTAAATAAGTAAATTAATTGCTTATTTATTTAAATAAGTAAATTACTTATTTAAGAAAAAAATTTCTTTTTTTTAATAAATTTTTTCTTTCAGTATTTGTATTTCAGGTTACGTCATGTTTTATAACAGCATCCTTACTTTCTTTTTTTAATAATTATTTATCGTCTTTGTCTGCTTTATTATCAGCGCACTTAGTAAAGTCATTATTATTATTGAATTATTGTTATATTTTGTATGTTTTCTCATGAAATATTGTGAAAACTTTGGATATATTCGGCAAGAAGCTGAATATTTTGCAGATTTGTTCGATAAGTGAGTGTGTGTTCAGTCAATATCCGCTTGATCGTGCCTCGAGGACGTCATAAAAATAGCCGAGAATTTATGGCACTGCCTCTACACGAATCTCTCACCTCTGGACTTTTTTCCCGTCATCTAATTGCAAAATCAATTTTCACCCTCGGCGACAGAGCGGCGAAGAGTAAAAATGTGTCACGCGCGCGCGTTCCTGTTCCCGAGCGCCGCCACGGTGAACAAATCACGGCGGCCACGCGAGCGCTCTTCTTTCACAGTCTCGCGACCAAACGGATTCTTTATCACGCTTAATTTTCACGTAATTCTGGCGATATCCGGAGCGTCACGCAATTACACGCGCGTCAGGAACGCGAGCTACATCCTTATTCCGTATGCAAGTGTTCTCGATCGAGTTGTGCAGCAGACACGTTTCAGAGATTAATTCGCGCGTCGTGAGATCCAACCCCGTGAAAATCCGACGGAGTTTTCTGTCGCTTCAGCCGCGACGGGTGGAAGCACTTCGGAAGCCCTGCTCGAAATTATTCCGACCTCGAATTTCAGCTACATCTCCGCGCCGCACTACATGGAGGACGCGTCCATTAACGAAGCGCGGCGCGGACGCAATAATTACGGCGCGATCTTCTATTTTTCTTTGAGCGACCTCTCACCCGCGACCGCTCCCGGTCGAGTCAACAAAATCTGCATAAGTACGTTACGGCTGCCAGCCGGATGCAATTTTATCCCTCCAATTACGCCCACGTTCGCGAGAGGACGACAGTTTGTCGGGGATAGCAATTAAAGAAATGTCCGCCACTTCGTTAATGTAGCGAGCTCTTTATTAGCAACTTGGAGAATGGTTAAGATGATCAGACGTGTCGTTCCCCCGGGACAGTCCTAGTTTTCTACCCTGTGTCTCGGGTTTTTCCGAATTTTGCCCGGGACGCCGATTTATCCCGGTTTAGAGAATTTCTAAAATTTTTTTACAAAAAATCGCTCCTCCCTGATGAAGCGAATTGAAATGTTCGCGAAACGTCGGACAAAGAAGAATTCATGCAGCTTAAACTAAATCTAACAGACCTCTAGAAAATTCATAGCTCTGGCAAGAGCTTTGTTTCCTTTTTTTGATTCTAAGTAAAGATCGCAACAGTTTTAGTAATAGTTTTTCTACTTTTACTGGATGCACACAAGTTATTTATTTCTGAAACTAAACAAAATATGAAGTTTTTATTTTCTATTAATCGTTTGGTGTCAAAGGTAACATCATTTCATGAAGTTGTTTTTTTCTAGGTAGAGTCATTAGAGTAAATTCAAGGATACTTTGTTTTTCTGTATATCTGTAACATAATAGCCTGCAACCCCTTTAACACTTCACACTCTGTATAAATAATCTTCAGTAAACTCCCCCCCTTCCCTCTCCTCGCTTTACACAATTATGAAGGGCTGGAAAATCTGTGGTCTGTTCTTTGCAGCTGAATCGGTTGCACTAGCTTACACTAGTTCTCTTTCCCTCCTTTTTACACCAAGTCACAACTACACGGAGAAAACACAACTCCGTTAGTGTAACTGAATTTTCTGATACTCGGGGACCAAATGAAAAAACTCGATTGCAGGGACAGAAAGATTCCCGTAAGAGGAAATCTACTCAACCAACCGCTCTCAGTTATCTCAAACAAGTTTTAGTGCAACTAAATGTTTTCAGACGAATGTTTTCGGTCACAGTGACAGAGAAACACTCCTCGTCAGCGAGTTTTCCGTCTGGTGTCCATTCAATTGCACGAATTGAAATTCCTTTTCCATGTATATACCTCTTTCTTTTTAAGTTCCGAAAGCGTGCATTCATTCAGCTGCAAGATACAAATCTTTAGTCACCTTGTTGCAAGACAAGGGTGAGGAGACAAGAAGGAGAAAAATAAAAGTTCGAAGACGTAAGCACATAAGTCGACGGATAATGAGAGGACAGATATGTGCCGTCGTTAATTAAAAAAAGGAAAGAAAAGACAAAGGAAAAAGAGGGAAAACGCGACGGGTTCCGAACGAGAAAAGTCCATAATTCATGGCTTTCGTGGACGTGCTGTTTTTTTCTTCTCCTTCTCCCTCCTGCTTGTCCTTCGGCTCAACGATGGACGTACGCCCGACGTTTCATTCGCTTTAACATGTCACGTCGACGGGATGCCTGCGGCCGTGGCATTTTCTTGGACGCGGGTACCAGCCATTTTCCGTTTCTACGACACTTTTGATGGCATCGGCAATTTTTATGTTTCTCGTGTCGCCGCACCGAAACTTTCATACACGCCGGCGCACGTACGACACGTCGGACGTCTCGCGGCAGTAATGCCGTAAAACTTCGTCGCGACGGGCTCACCGTGAAATATTATAAACAAGATTCCTCGTGTCTGTGCATTTATTACCTAATCGTGGGTCAGGCCAGACGCGTGAAACGGCTTGACGGGTTATGAAACTTGTAGCGGAAGTAGGAGATAGAGTGAAGAACGATGACGAATTGAAGGGACAAAGACTGAGTGAAAAAATATCCAGAAAATAGCAAATATAGAGAATGTAGAATATTTAGAAAACTAAAATATCAGAATATTTTCTAATATAGAATATTTTCTAATATTTTTCAAATAAGAAAATATACATTTCCTTGAAACCTCAAGAAAACCTGATATTTTCATCAAAGTGTTTCTTTATTCTATTTAAATGAAAGAATTTAGATTTATAACGCTACGAATAAATATTTACTAATTTTTAGATATTTTTTCTCTCTCAGTACTTGAGTTACATGCCAAAATATCTTTCCTGAGGGATATTTTATGGAAAATCTATGCCTTACGTTACATACACTATGGATTTTCAGTAAAATTTCCTTCAACGGGAACGTTTAAGAATACAACCTTGACAAGTATACCGGCAAAATGCTGACATTTCTTCGTAAAATTTATGTTATATTAGCTGCACAGAATTACAAATACTTTTACATAATAAAACATACGTGCAAAAATTAATACTATTCAATATATGACGAAAACGAGGAGAAATTTCAAAATTGACATCTTGAACTGTCAATATGAATGTTTGTTTGATACAAAAGTTCTGCACTTTGAACATACCGAATGAATGTTTGCTCCGCTCAAGAAAATATCAAAAAACATTGTTCTGACTTTACAATTAAAATCCGGAAGCTTGAAAATATACAAAAAGTTTGGAAAAAGGTTTCTATATATACATGTTTATGTTTTCTGCTAAATATGATAGAGCGATATAGCAAATATGTAAAGAATAAACTGTGTGGTTGAAAAGTGTCGACTGACCACAATATTTAGTCCTTTTCAATTGCATAATTTATCACATTTTCCTTTAATATAAAAAACAACAGAGATATATATTTCAGAATCTATCGTTAAGTGATTCACTCTCTACACTTGTTTGAGAATGTTATGTTCGATTTTTATTAAATTAATAAAAATTATTGTAATTTTTCTAGTTGACTTAACATTAGATTCTAAAATATCTCCGTTTTTTCTTGTATCAAAGCAAAATGTATAAGGAATAAATTGTGTAGAGTTGAAAGGGTTGACTGAGCACAATATTGAATCCCTCTCAATCACACAATTTATTCTTCTTACACACATTTTCTTCTAATATAAAAACAAAACAGAGACATCTTAGAATCTAACGTTAAATGACTAACCTGACCCACCCTGAATAATAATTCCAGTTAAAATTTCTGCATGGTCCAAAGTTACAAAAATTACGTCGCGCGATTTTCACTACAATATTTTCTCCACGTACAAGATTACTCGCATCCAACGAAATATATCTTTCTCCCGACAGAATCTCCGACAATCCCCGAGTCGATCCTCGGCAAGAACGTCGCGCGGATTTGGCGAAATCGTACTTAAGAGGCAGCAGCGCCCGTCTGATAGGTCATCGAGATTGTTCTATAAACTACAACTCGAGATGTTTGGGAATAATCCAGCCGGGTCTGGCGATAAATAAGAGGAATACTCGCGCGTGGCGGCGAAACTGCATAAAATAGAATATCGCGGAAGCGAGCGATTGGCATCGCGTATTCGCGTCGATCGATGAGAACCTCGCAAAGAGGGAAGGAAGTACGAGTGAACGCGAGCTCGCGAGCTGACAGAGAGAAAGAGAGAGAGAGAGAGAGAGAGAGGAGGGAGGAGAGAGCCGGTCGATCGCGCGGATAAACGAGCGGGATATTCACCGGCGACGTGGTGGCTTCTGCGACTGCCCGAGGGGACGATGATTCACGGAGTGGAGCGCGTGGGCGACTAACGCGGAAAAACTATTCAGCTCCATCGACGTAGAAAAGAATAAGATAAACCGGCCGTGACAGTGCCGAACTGGCTGTCCTTGCTCGTCATGTCGCGGCCGGAAGAAGATTAATATCGGGAATGATAGAGCGACCTCGTGGCCGAATAAGAAGGCTTACATCGCGTTGACCGCGCCACACCTGTGGACTTTGCGCGTGATATCGCGATATCGGAGATAATAAATGGAGCGACCTACAACACAAAAACTTTCGTAGTTTAAACGAGAGGCGGAGAACGAAAAAAACGAGAGAGAGAGAGTGGGAGAGAAAAAAAAGAGAAAGAGAGAAGAAAGAAACGGGCGATAAAGGCGATCGCGATAAACCACCCGGGAACATTGCTCGCGTCGGGCGCAGGAATCAGACAAGTGGTTTAAAGAGACGAAGGAGCCGCTCGGTAACGATCTCACCCCCTCTGACGCGAAGGGGAGAAATGCCCGGTGGAAACGTAAGGAAATAAACATAAATTACCGCGGAGCCGAGCCCATTCGCGGTCGAATCCTGCTCGGTATGCACCTCGCGCGGAAGAGGAACCCCGCGCGGCTTATTCTTCAAGGGTGAGGAACACGCGGTCGTGTCGTTGAGGGTGAGCGAGCGAGCGTGCGAGCGAGCAAGCGAGTTCGACTAGAGGTGGGCGCGCGACGGTGATTTACATCGTGAGAACGCGGCGGCCACGACTCTCGCCTGCCGGATTTAACCGAGCGCGAGGTCGGAAACGTCCTCCTCGCAGAGGCAGAGAGAGAGAGAGAGAGAGAGAGAGAGAGAGCGCCGTCTAGCCCCCAGCTATGCTGCGAGTTCAAACGGGGAAAGAGCGATCTCGACCCCATCATCGATCCGCCCTGCGACTCGCCGCAGCCGTTACTGCTCCGGGCGGAGAAGGATACATTCATGAATCGGAAGCGCGTTAGGCGAGCCATGAATGCGAAGGATGGATCAATCGGTCGGGCCACACGAGGGTTTCCGTATTTTTCAAGCATGAGCTCAGGCAGAGAGATGGCCACCGGAAGCAGCGTCGTTCGTGAAACGACTCGCATCGACCTCGCGGGAGCGGCAGGGCGATCAACGCCCATATCTCAAGAATAATGAAAAAATTTGGGAAAAGTTAAAGACTAATCTGTATTGCGGATCTAAAAGTCGATCATAAACAATCTAATATTGATTCAGAATCTGGATCGAAGTATGAAGCTATACTTTGAAACATGATGACGTTTTAATGATCTAATGACGTCTCTAATGTCGATAATGCACATCACTCAACGTCATCCTGCCGCTTGGGAGTATTTTAAACATTTGGCAGTTCTAATTCAATCAATAGTATCAATAGGTGTTGCTTGAAGCTTGTTTCTCACACGCGTGCGCGCGTGTGTAAAATATTCAAATTTGTATTATTAAATTTGTAAAATTAAATCTTACTTGTTTAGTTGAATCATATGATGTAACGTGACAATATAATTGCAGTCGCTATTCCACTAAAAAACTCACACATAACTCTAAATTCAAATACTTCATTTGAGACAAATCTCAAGTAACAACCATTAATACGGGTCCTAAGTGTTGATCCTTTGAGTTGGAGAGTCACGCCTGTCAGACTTACTACTGTTTACGAGTCAAAACCGTCTCTCAGCCACGTTTCAGGCACATAATGTAAAGTACGTATATGATGTATGCTTTCGTGCTCTGCGAACGTCATCTTAATAGTTAACAGAACTAAATGCTATGCATTGAGATAATGTCTCCGAAACGTCGTACCTCTGCCAGCCAAATGTGAAAGTTGTTAATCACAAATCTAACTTAATCTTATCATCTCATAATCGCGAAACCTTTAAGAAATTCTGTGGGACGGTCTAAAGAAGATGTCAATCGAGTTGCAACGTATATTTTTATTTTTTTCCAAATGGAAATGGGAAATTAAACAAATACACACGTTCTAAGAATCTGTTAAATAAAAATATCAACGCACAGAGAAAAATATCATTTTACTTTCTCTGTCAAGAAAAGTATTTACTCAGTTTTCTTCCTTTTTTTAAGTAACCGTTGTTTTCATCAGTCTTGAAAATAGCCTTAAAATAAACTCATCACAAATCCTAGAAAAGCTCATTATTATGTACTCCAAAGAAGGATTGATTCTCTTTACAAGATTATAAAACTTTGTCGAAGGGAAGTTGATTCGACTCTATGTAGTAAGCAAATCGAGTTTTCGCTTTAATTTAACATTCTTGATTGAAATGCTAAACTTATCAGGATTCAGAAAGTATTTTGTATAAATCTAATGAGCTTATAATGAACTTATGATAGATTTTGCGGACATACACGTGAAGAGTTTTATAGTAAAAATTACTGTAACCGAGGAATATAGATCGACATTCTGCAGTAATTCATTATCCCTCTATTTTATGTACTACTTACATATTAGGAACTGAAATTGACTATTAACCTTTAGATTGCCGGGAAAGTCACTTAAACTATAAAGCCACTTTTGTAGCTTTCCTGGCAGTTAAAACACTTGCTATATTTCTAGTGGAATTTACTATGTTCTTTAGCAAGATAGAGACCTTATTGACGGTCTCAGTTATCGCTTCACTACTAAAAACATGATAAAATTGAAAAGAATTTATATGAAAAAAAAAATCTATAACATTCTCTTCGTGCATAAACTTATGATATACTTAGAACAAGTAACATCTTCTTGAGTGCAGTATGTATTTTTCTGTGTGTGTAAAGGGTTAATTGTGTGCGCGATGGATATGTCGAAGGGCCACGTGGATTCGAGACATTCCATTTCAGTTTGCCGATTTAATGTGTGAACTGACTTTGTCTTATCAAAATTCTACAAGCCGATCTGGCGTTCTCAGGAATCGAATAGATGCCTAATTGCGATTAAATACATCTTCAGAGTGTTAAAAAAGCGAGAAAAAGGAAAAAACTTCGCGGTACAGACGCCTTTTGATAATAAGCCACGATAGGGCTCTGCGAAACGAAGTAAAGAAGAACGAGGAGAACGAGGAGAACGCTCCTTCACGCGGGGTCTTTCGCAGTGTCGATCGATGATTTAAATTCTCCCTACCTGTTTTTTCCGGATAAGAGCACGCTGATCAAAGCGAGTACGGAGAAGAGAAACTAATCAGCGAACCGCCGCGAGCGAAATTGCGAGGCGCGTTTCACAGCGGCCGGATCTTTTACGAGTCGAACCGCGACTCAACCTGCAACAACAACTTCTTCTGCGTGTAGCTCGCGGTTTTGCATTTTTTTGCGCGTGGCCGATCGGCACCCACGCGCGACCACAGCAACACCGACCGATCGACGACCGCGCTATTCATCGTCGAGCTCAGAAATAACCGGTTGAACCACTGACATTGAACGGGAAAAGGATCCGGAACTAACGGACCAGAGTTCCTCAAGTCAGAGTCAGGACACCGTCCGCCATTCGTAGAGAGGAAGTGAGTGAGTCAGTGAGAAGCAACGCGCTTCGTCATTTCAATCTTAGAGCTTCTCTCTCACTTCTAATGGGATTCCTTCATCACTTCCACTCATGCTTTAAATCTTTCGCTATCAATTTTGTTTTTTAAAGGTACAATCTTTTTTACTTTTACTTCATTAAATATATATTGATATAATATAGTTTTAGCAAAAGAGATTACAAATTTTATGTTTAGCGCCAAAAGAGACAGGACTGGGCTACTGATGTCCCACTAGGCTTTTTGGAAGGGCATCTTTGGCCCAACGGTAATAAGTAGAGCGATGTGTCTTAAACGCCAAAAAAGCTGTTTATTCAATTGAAAAAATTGTTATTAATAGTGAATAAAATATGTTTCGGTAGTGAAAGGATTAAAAGTTAAGACATCTCGTTCAAGTAAAATTGTTTGCTCATAAAATAGTCTTAAAAAGTATACTTGAAGAGTTTTACGGCCCGAATAAAATTGACTGTCGTGGGAAATATATACATAACTATGTGCAATTGTGTTTGCACGTGTATATTCCAGCTCCTTGCAGAATTTAATAGATCTTATAACCATGATAATGAACACAAAAGCGCCAAGCTTGTACCTTAACATCGGCGAAAAATTGGAAGAATTAAATCTGCTTACTTTTTTCGTGAAAAACTTTACACAATTTCGACTGTCAACGATTCTGCTCTGCACACAATCGCGATATTCTGGCTTCTTCAACGGGAAGATCACTGTCTCACGGGTTGGGGTGAAGTATGAAACTCTATCTAGGTTAGATCGATAGTATTATATCGCCCGGGATCATTACTTTGCCAACAGAAAACATTTGGAGAGGACTCAAAGTGAATGTAGAATAGACTTAGATGGTCCAGACTTCACAGGACGAATCGGATCAAGATAAGTCTTGGAACAGTTGTCGTTAGTTTTTGTATCAAACAAGCTGCTTTATTGTGCCAGAGATAATTAGCACGATAAAACAGTTCGTTTAAAACAAAAACTAGCTGCAACCTGTATCAAAACTTATTTTGATCCGATTCGCCTCGGTCTACTCTACGTAATTATGTAACACTGGGAACTTACAAGTAAACTTACCCAAAACATTCCTATTTCTTTCTAACTTTCTTGGCACAAATGTAGAAGTACAAAAAATATTTTGGTCATATTTTTTTCATTTTCGCTCACTTTGACTTTCACGGGCAGTTCATAGCTTTTTAATATTCTCCCTCATCAAGTGCAACAAAAATGCATTTTTGTTGCATTTGTTGATCATAGGAGCGAGAACATTAAAAAGCTATAAACTGCCCGTGAAACTCAAAGTGGGTCAAAATGAAAAAATGACAAATATTTTTTGTACTTCTACATTTGTACCAAATTAGAAAGAAATCGGAGTGTAGGTTTATTTGTTAGAAGACTAAAACTTCACATATGTGATCTTTGCTTTCGATGTGTTCTTTGCTTCCTATTTCTTTCTCTTTATCTCTTTCTGACTCAAGCTTTGAACTTTAGGCCAGAAAAAGTCCGAGACCAAGAAACAGAAAGCAAAGAGCACATTGCACTCCTAATAAGATTAATAAGATTAAGCTTAAGGAGCTCAAGATCGAAAATATCAGCTCGATTCTTTAGAGAGACGAAACGCTGTATATATCTGTAAATTCAGTTCGGTACTTTTTCACAAGGGATAGTATTTTAATAACGATTACTAATGTATTCATTAATTGTACGTCAATCTGACTAAAACATTAAATTTCGATCTCAAGTCAAATATTACAATCGTATGCGCGGTCCGCGATGTATTAATGCTAAACGGCACTTTAATCCAAATAATATATATTGGATTTTTCGAAAATTTTGAAGTATAGTTTGACAACATTGACACAGCGGTCACGCACAACCTCGACAGATCGAACTCTAATTAAATGTCGACTTTGGCCGAATGTCTACGTCAAAATTTCGACCGTTTTCCCTCTCGTGTCTGAACTGTCAATCTCCTGGTGTAGAGTTCCGCTTTGTTCTCTTCTGTCGACGTTATGTTCTATTAACATCAACAACATGCAGCCAAAACGGTATTCCAATGACAATTTTAAGCCTGCCCTTTGCGTTGCCCTTTGCTTTTATCTTATTATTATTATCAAAGCGTTATTTATTCGGCGCTCTAATAGTTCTTTGAGACTCGTCTCAAGTGAGTTACTCAGATTTCAGTTCAGAAGTGGATGAGAGTTTTCCAGTTGGATCGCGATCACAGATATAAATGTCTATTATGATTTAACTGGAGAATTCGGACCTAACTCTGAATAAAAATCTGAGTGTCTCATATGAGATATGTTTTTTAGGTCACAATTGTTGGTGCAGGCTTAAGACTACGATATCAATATCTACGTTCAATTTTACATTTCGTCCGTAAAGATG